CCACCTGTCAACGCTTGCAAAACAAGATGACCTTGTACATAAGAGGTAACCAAAAGGGCCGAATTGACTTCCCCCTCCCCTCCCCCCAAACCCCTCGTCAAGCCGGACTGCGCTCAGTACGACATAATAGTACATCTGTAACAGAGGTTTTGACGAAGATAATTTTCATTCAGCTGTCGGTGTTCAAGCTGATGAAGAAAGAAGCTGGTGGCACATACAAATTTGTTCATGTTGAGAATGTATCCTTCCCATCGTCGCATACCCTTGATATCTCTCACTGTGGTATTTCTTCGAATGGTGAGCCAAAGTTTTTCTTTTCAGTTGCCTTGGGTTTGTTTAGTATTGTTTTATACGTAAAAACTTCTTGAGATTCTGAGCCTTCATTAATTTCTGATTGCGATCTCTTCTCAAGGGAAGTTTTTGATGTCGGCGTCACCTGACAATAAGATTGTACTGTACGATATCCATGGCACCGTTTTGAAAACACTGGAACCGAAGGTTTGTGCTCTTATACCGTTCTTTTTCATTTGGTTTTATGAAAATCCTGGAGAACACCTAGAAGTTATAGATGAGTTCTCTTTTCGATGTGGTGATATCGCCTGATGGTCGATTTGTGGCTGCTTGTGGATTCACAACAGAAGTTTTCGTTTATGAGGTCAGTTAGGGAGTGGACACGATGGCTGGGGCGGGCGCTTGTTGCCATTGGTGGAAGGGCAACGAAAGGGCGTTCAGCCACTCCCACTTAGGCATTGTTCACAGTCTGCGACCCTGACGAAACGGCGGTTGGGAGAAAAGCAAAAAATAGTCATCGATCGGAGAATCGCCAACCGCTAGTTTCGCCGAACCGCCGCGGTTCGGCGGTTGGGCGAAAAGCAATAAATGCGTATCGATTTCGCTGGCGAAAAACGCCAGGGCGATCGAGCTAGCGTCGTTCGTCGAAGGCGAAAACTGTGTCCGCGGTTTGAATGCGAAACGCCCGTACCGCCGTACTAAAACCTTCCTTTTCGCCAACCGCCAGACTTTCAACTAACCGCACTAGTCGGATACGTTCAAAAAGCTTTTTCGCCGCCGAACCGCTGCCTTCCAGAGCGAGAACACTGGGCCGCGACTGTGAACAGTCCATTAAGCTTCCCCCCAGTGACATGGGTAAACAAATTGCGCCGCCCTAGCGTTGAACTTTGCCTTTGATGAGATGACGGCTTGCTACTTTTAGAGACGCGCTTCCAGACTGCTCGCGACACTCGCCGCATCGCCGATCGCCTTGGTGAGATCGCCAGAGACCCATGCGATCGGATCGCGCGATTGGATCGCGCGATCCGATCGCGCTACTGAGGGTGAAATTACTGCGGGAGGGGGTCATGTTCGTTCATGTTCAACTCAACTCAACAAACAACAACAACAACAAATTCTGGGAAGGGAGCGTACTAATATCACCAATTCTCTCACATCACAATGCTGTATCCTGCCTCCAGATAGGGCAGTTTCCAAAAACGATATCAAAAGTAAGTTCGACCGGTTGGTTGATGTGCTTTTATTCCCGTGTTTCATATTTCGCAATACTGACGGTATTGCCAGAAACCCGTTGTAAAGGAAAGGTCGCTGCGGAGCAGGTTGTGTATAGACCTGGAGGATGGCAGAACAAACAAAGCAAACACAATGTGACAAAAGTAAAGTGAATATCTGGAGGACTGGCAAAATCGGGGGAAGGGAGAGAAACAACATCACCCGCTGTTGAAAGTTCTGCGTGTCTTACTTTTGGAACAAGATGTTCAATACTCCGCTTGAACGTAAACTCAGATGCAAAATTCAGTATAATAATTAGCATATTGTATATTTAGTACTATTTTACATAGGAAATAATAAATAACTCAAAGATATTTCGAAACGTTCTTTAAAATTAGGAGGGCGTTATGTACACAAAGGAAGAAAGAAGGAAAAGAGAGAGAGAGAGAGAGCAGGATCAATAAACATATACGGCACATAAACCCCCATCCCGCAGTAAATTTCACCACTCAGTTACGCGAATCGGCAGCGCGGCGATCAATCGCCCGATCGCAAAGTCTGAACGCGCCTCGTACAGATCCATTTTTAGGTTGCATTCACATCGGTGAAAAACGTGTTCCAAGATGGCCAAGAAGCAGCCTTCGACTGTAAAAGGTATAGATTCTATTCCACTTCGGACATATTATAAGTAGAATTCTCTGTAGCGAAACAATGCGGCTCTGCAAAACTGTTCAGCGGGCCCACGGTTGTACGTCGGGATCCCAGCAGTGGTGGGTTCGTATGTATGCCGGAGAAAAGCCTTTTTTTGATAATTAATTTTTCCGTTGCTGCCACACGGCCACTGTACCCGTTCCCTTCCTAGTTTATCTGCCAGGCAATTGTCCCGTTAAACTATCTGGGTGGCGACATCCCTCCTCTTCGCGCGACTCGTCGTTTTTGGAGGGAAACCCCGATTTTTTTGAAAAAAAAACTTCAAGAAAGCTGGCTAAAAAGTTCGGGGAAGTTTGGACCGGAGATCGAAGAGGATGGATTATAAGGACAGCCGGGGGGGGGAGCGGTGTACCAGAGGTTGTACTGAGGAAGATGCCGTCATATGTTTTTGCCAAAATCTTTCTTTCTCTCTGCGCTACGGTGTCGCCACTCGGAATTCCGTTGTGTTTATAAAAATGCCACTGCTCGCGCAGCCTGAGCGTGACCGATCTTCTTCGGTCTAGATCCACTCGTGATACATAGAAATATATCTTCATTACTCCTTCGACCCGTTGGTAGTGTGAGTGCAGTTGTCTGCTCTTGCCTAAGCTAGTGTCTCTGCGTCTCTATTCACCTCATGCTCGCTAATATTGACAATCAAATGGTCCTCATATAACGTACTCGACGTTTTCTTCTGTTTTCTTCTTCATTGGTGAACGAATTAGCACCTACAAAGTCATTTTTAAATCACCCTACTCCCGACTTCCTATCGCAGAATGTACCTTTCCGTGCAAATGCGTTGTCTGTAGGGGTAGGGCAATCTCGCTGCATACAGACATGAAAACACCTGACATCCACCTGCACGAGGTGGTTTCAGTTATTTTTAGTAGGGAGAAGTGATGCCATCATGTCGGAGGAGTGGCCCCCTCCACGGGGCGGGCTAAACGCTCAAGAACGAGAAGAAGCTATTTACAGGGTCACAATTCCGGCGTTTTCGCGGTGGCTTTCAATGCAAATGCGTCGCGTGCAGTGACAGTTTCACGTGATGGATTCTGGAGAGTGTTCGACACAGATATACGATATGCTCAAGGCCAAGAAGCTGCTATTCTGAACAAGTGAGTTATTTAGTTGGAATGGCTCTTCTAGCACGATAAAATTTTGATCCCTTAATTCTGAATTTTTAGGGCAGAGTTGTCAATGCTCAAAGGAGCCAGCGCTGACCGCGTTCGATTGGCTATGAGTCCTTCTGGGGATAGTTTCGCAGTGTCGTGTGGTTCTACGCTGAAGATATTTAGCAGTGAGGATGAACAAAAAGACTTCCCAGAGTGTGAGTTATCCAGAAAATTCTCTACATCGCTCTTTAAAGGCAGTGGGCCATTATAGCGAGGCGGCTGGCGGATGTTGCCAGCGTCACTGATGGAAGCGCTAATAGGAGGGCGTTCCGCCAAACTGCCCAGCGCTTTGCGTGGGTGTGCTCAAGCCGTTACACCAGTGGCGCTGGCAACAACTGCCCGCCTCCAGCAGTTGTGTCCACTTCCTTTCAGGAATATAATTTCACTTTTTAGTGCCCGAAGTGCATGGTGACCAGCGAATACTCGTCATCAAGTATTCACCATGCGGCCGGTTGGTAGCTACTTGTGGAGATCGTTATGTCCGTGTGTTCCGAAATATACCTGAGTACCACAGCCAGGTGGTGCGGCTCAACAAGGTACGCTTGA